AAAAGATCTGTGTCATAAAATAAACTGCTCTTTACGCCTGGAAAAATCAGTTGCCCACCATTCACCAAAACATACGGTCAAAAACGCGGAAATAAACAATAACAGCAATCCAGAGTGTCCGTGTGGCATTAGCATTAATTAAATTAATTGTTAATATAATTAAAATAATTAAATGGAGCTCCAACTGGTATTAAATCTAAAGTTTTTGAGAAATGTTTGCATTGCTTGTTAATTTTTGCTGCATAATTTGATCAAATATGTAAAACATGTCCGTAGCACGTTAAACTGTGGTGCCATTGTATTAATATACAATTATTTGCTCAAAAGTTGCCCTTTTTTTCCAATTTGCGTTTGAATATCTACATTTATTCTCATTCTCCTGTTTAATGGAATGCACAAACACAGCAGCGTGCCATCAAAGATGGCGTCTCCGAGGAGGTCATGTGACATTCATTGGTCTGTGGGAACTATGTATAGAGATATCTCACGTGACGTCACGATGCCTCGAACTCGCGGGGCATCCGCCATACTGGAGGACAAGCAAACGCTGTATGATAGTGGCGTGCACCCGGGACCGCATAAACATGTTCAAAATGTTTGCCGTTTTTGGCTGCAGCAAAAGGAGAGACAGGGAAAATAAGTTGTGTTACCGACTGCCAGCCGTCCTTACTTCACACAGCTCAAAAACAGAAGACATCTCAAAGAAACGAGAGAGAAATGGCACAACTATACGCAACAACAAACTAATAGCCCCCAGAGCATTCATTTCTGCTAAGTGAAATCAATTTGATGGCGGATTAAGTGTTATTCCGAAACAAACAGAAGTTTAAGGATAAAACATATCTGTCTGACTGCAACGTGGGGTTGCTCCATAGACTGTAGCTTAGCTTGTAGCATAGCTGTTATATATTTGGTCTCACACAGGACCTCACCCGGTTCACAGGGTATCTGACTTACCGAAGGCCAATAATACATTTTAGGATGCATTTTCAGAGGATCTGATTCATGAATTTAGGTTGAGTATATATTTGGGTCACTAACTGCTGAAGTTTCAAATTCTCTGTTCAGTTTTCATGTAGTTCGAGAGAGTTCTAGTTTTGAACGTCCAGTTATAGATAGCTAGCAGGGCTGTTACTCGCCGAGGTTGTCCTCCAGTATGGCTGCCGTGGCTGTTAGTCACGTGACCGTAGGATCCCTCTATACATTATCCCTTACATATGACATTATAATTACTATATTATATAGCAACTCAAATGTCTGTTCAAAGTAAATGTCTAAAATCAAAAGGCAATTTTCCAAACTCCTTTTCAGTTTTACAGATAATGAAAAACAATGGTAGCTTGTGGAAAAGCTTAGTCCAATTTAGACAATTTGTCAACTCCCTAAGCATCACCAGAGTGACTGCTGCTCCCTAAGGACAGTAAAAGAAGTGGCAAGACATATTAAAAAGCCTTTAAAAATCTATAGTGAACCATCTGTTCAGAGGATATAGCTTCACACTACATGGTTTTTTTCATACCGTATCATCAAGCTATAGGCGCCATGTAACTTAAAAACGAGAAAAAGCAATGTTACTCTGGGATGGGAGAGAGAAGGGAGGTGTTCCCATTCAGAAGCTCCACGTGGCTAATTTGCATATGTGAAGGTCAAGGGGTGGGCTGGGTGCCATGCCAGCCATTGAAACCATGAGACCTCGCCCCCAGCCAAGAGTTGTGTCTATATGTGTGCGACTGTGCGTGTGAGTGTGCAATGGTCCAAAGGACTGTAAATACTATTGGTATACATCGACCAAAGAGAGGAGAATTTATTCCATGCTAACATTTTCCAAATTTGTTTTGTCTCTCCCCATGTGAACCCGGTTGGGCCATTCCACAGAGGTCAGCAGTGATCCTTGTGACTTACTTCAAATATAGCTAACAATTTTGCATATAGTGTATACCAGCAATGACTACCACATTGTACAAAAAAAAGAAGAAAAAAAAAACAGTAATTACAATTGAAAGTTTTGTTTATAAAACCTGAGAAAAAACCTGAAAGATTAAGAAAAAACCTAAATGGATTTTGGGTGAAATAGCAACAAAATTATGTCAGACCAGGCCTAAGGTAATTTATATTAGTAGTAGACATGCATGAAACATAGCCTAAAGACAAGTAGCATATACTATAAGTGCACAAGTATATAACAATCAGGAGCCAATCCGACAGACTAAATCGCCCACGCCATCCAGACCAAATTTCCCCTATGGATAATTACATTCTGTTACCGGCCGCTCGGATAAAACTACGCCGACAAACAGCTGACATCAAATCAACGCCTGCCTGTAGTAATTAAATCCCTTCTTGGGGGTGTTTACACATCAACCTTTGACTCAGAAGGAGGTGTTCTGAGTGTGTGTACAATAGAGCCATGTACAAAACATACATTAACTAATAACACAAGCCTGTACCACTCATGTACAGCCATTTAATATTTATTATTTTTAAAGACCCAGACTTAATTGGCGTTTGGTGGAAACCGCATGCTCACAAGGATAACCTCTGCCTAGCAATTACCTACGACGCCTAGCATATTTTAACCGAGAAAGATTGAGAAAAAAAAAGAAGCTGCGGCTCTTATCAGACGCAACAGAGCAAATTAAAACAGCGCTATGGTCGAGCTAATCAGTGCTATGGCGAAGATGTAAACAAAACGACATAAACAAATGAGAAAAGGGAGGGGGCAAGTCTGGACCAGTGCTGACCATGAGAAATTAGCTTGCAAGCACAACACGATGCATTCAAAAGCCCAGTTATAGACATCCATGCAATCACTACGGTGGCCATTTCCGGAATGCACCCGTGAGCTGTCTTCTCGATGCAAAACATGTTTCATAAATTAATTCTCTGCCATATCCATAGTCAAAGCCATCACTATGCAAGACTCCCTGAGATAGCCGCATAATATAACGTGACATTGATGCATTGCTCCCATTATAAAGTCTTTGTTCGTATCACACTAATAATTCATAAGGGAAGAAATGTAAACAGTATGCACTAGAGAGCAGAGAGTGAGAAAGGATCATATCAACGTAAGCACATTAGCTCTGTGTGCGTTTGATATGAAGAACTGAACTGAAGCATTGGGCTTTTGATTTATCATTTTCCTCTACTAAAATCGACTCAACACACAGCATAATTGATGACATGTTGAAAAATTAAAAAAATTAAGTTTCCTGTTAGGTCAGATTTAAAGAAAAAGCGCTGCTTTAATTAGCAACAACAACAGGGCTGTTGTTTTATGCTAATTGGTTCTGTGTGTGCACACACGTGCAGAAAACAAAGTGATCTTTAAAACACATTTAGGCAAACTGGAATTGCTGTTATGCTTCCTATTTAAAGAAGTTAAAATGGCAACATGTAATTGCTATTGTGATTGTTTGTCGGACGTGAAGCGTTGACAATCGCCAACGCTATCAATGCACATTGAATGCCAAATATTCTTCAAATAGGGCAGAGGTGTTGATAACTGGGACAATGCCATTTTGATGAGCACTTTGACACAGGCAAAGACAGGTGCATGGGAGTCTGTGTCTGTATTTTGGTGAGTGGCGAGGCCTGGCGTAAATGGGGTTCACTCTGGAGGGGCAGGCAAAGGGGAGGGGTAATTGAATTTGAAAGAGGGGGAAAGTGTGCCAACAGGTGACAAGAGGCCTGCTCCCCACCAAATGCACTCTCTCAAGCACAGCGCAGTCATATCATGGGGCCAATTTGGAGACGGTATATTATGCACTACACCGCTCAGCTCTCTCTCACAGCCTGTCAGTGCAGAGAGGAGCCACACCGCTGCTACTGCTGCTGCTCTAAATATGAATTAAACATTGGAATTTGTGCCGTGAATATACTGCGCCTGAAATGTTCAGACTCAAGTAAAAACAGTAACACGTGTGCCACTTTTTGAAGAGGGTTAGAAAAATATCACAAAAATATAAGTTTGATAGTAGGAAATGGTGAGTAAAACGAGTTTAGAGTTATTTTTTTAAGTGGGGATTGCAAAATGAAATCCAATGATCAACAGTGGTAGTATCGGTCCGGGCTGAGGCTATTGCAGGCTTTCACTGAATGCACATTATAACAGAATCTTTTACACCAATCAATACAAGTCAAGCACAGTCCAAATACATCCATTTAAAATATAGCCCACACAAAATGCATTTAAAACTTATATGATGTTTGAGAAAAAAACAGTTAATGTAAACAAGTGGCTCTTCAAATATGCCATCCTCAATTCTGGATGAAGTATTCCTGTATACTGTCACTTCGAATTATGTGGAATATGAATCCTCAGAAATACAATTGCTTGGATTAAAGATGTTTCCTTGTCTGCAACTTTGAACAGTTCTGATCAAATCTATAATAAGCCATGAATAACAATAATACAAATAAAACAAGGGGACGTAATTACTATTTTTGAAAGGCCTCTTACTTACTGCCATATAAGTGAAATCAGCTTTGACCTGGATCAGTTTAATAAGCGTTACACATGCAGTCATGAGGGGCCAATCAGACGGCATAAGGTGTGTGTGTGTGTGTGTGTGTGTGGTGGGAGGGGGTGTATATGACAGTGGAAGTGTGTGAAGAACAATATCATACAAAATTTGAAGCTAATATAAAATAAATTACATTTAGCTAAAAGTGGAAAGAATATAAAGCTAACTAATTCCATATGATAACATACAGTTACAAAACGTTGTCGTCATTAACTATCTGATTAACGTCACAAGATATTGATAAAACTTAACTTGCGCCTCCAGGTTTAAGATTATAGCTACAATTAACTTTAAAATGCACAGTATATCCAAAACATGATTTCACATGGCGACCGTTGTGTGCGTGCGCACATGACGCATGTGCGTAACGCTAGATCAAAGCACAGAGGACTGAGTGACAGCTCAAGCTGTGCAAGGAAGCTGACCTCAGGTCACTGATGCGCTGCAGAGCGAACTAAAGTTTTCACAACTCACCTGCGTCCTGCTGATGCCCTGGCCTCCGTTTCCAGGACTCATAGAATGTGGTTGATTTCTCTGCTGGCCTCCCCAACCATGAGTTGACGGCGCTCCGTATTGTGGCCCCATGTCCTTCCCCAAACCCATGTTGGCCTGCTGCTGCGACGAAGGACCACTGTAGTCTTGATAGGTAGCGCCATAGCCTCGCATCATGGGACTGGGGGATGTGAGCAGCTGGTTTAAGGTCGGGGTGGACCCAGAAGGATGCTGCTGGGGTTGGCTCTGTCCTGGGTACCTCTGAAAGCCTGCTGAAGTCGGACCTAGTTGAGGCTTGCTGTGGCCCGCAGGTGAGCTGTTGCCCATCATTATGTTCCCGGGCTGTCGGCATCCCGTGGAGCCCATCATCCCATAAGCGCCTCCACCATAACCCGCGCGGTACCCAGGGTACTGGTTGTATTGGCTGTTATAGCCCGTTTCGTGGGAGTTCTCCAGGCTGTTATGAGCCATCCCAGAGCCGCCATGTTGCTCATAATAAGAACGTGAAGTGTAATAGTTGTTATTGAACTCGGAGTTGTTGCTTGTTGGTCCCAAGTTTCCGTGGTCATACCTGCCCCCCATCACCCTGTCCACGGGCTTACAGGAGAGCTCACCTTCACCTTTCCCAGTCATGAGCGGCTGTTGTGGCTCTCCGTGCCCCCCCAACAGGTTCTCCTTCCCGCCGTGGTGAGGGTGGTCTACGACTCTGTCCCCACGGGGACCTTGGCCATTATTGTTTGCGGTGTTGTTACTTTGGATCTGGCGCTGTTGATGTGGCGCAAACTGGTTGAAGTGCGTCGGCGGCGGCGGCTGCTGTTGCGTTTGAGGCTGTGGATCTCCGCTCCCCACACATTTCAGCTTATGGTTCGCGATCAAGCCCACTTCCATCGAGGAAGTGGATGAGTGAGTCGACGCCGGAGCTAAAGAGAGGTTGTTCCCATCTTTGTCATGTCCGTCCGCAGCGCTGTGACTCGTGGAAGTTGAATGGACCATGCTGTTCTCGTTACGGCGGTGATGATCTACATTATTCAGAGTCCCATCTCCAGCTCCCAGCATCAGTCCAGTCCGCTGCACGGTCCCACCTCCTCCGGATTTCCCCGAACCGAGCTCTGGTCCTAAGCTGCTCGACAGTTTCTTGTTTTTACTAGTTCTGGTCGGAGCCGATGCCACTTGCGCAGCCATAGTCACTGGAACATCTCAGCGCGCTGTGGCAGCAAGCTCCAACCAGCCCTGCGCGCAGAGAGGGGCAAAAAGGACGCGCAAGAGGAATAAAGAAATATATTCAGCAAAAACAAGCTATGTGATCGCCCGGTGGTGTTGACATGGCGCGTCAGTGAGGTTTCATCTTCAAAGTTTTTCCAGCAGTTTAAAACAAACTTTTCTCCAGCCCCCACCGCCTCTCATCCATCCTGTTTCTTGGTAATATGTAGCAGCGTCTCCCGGAGCCCTTGTGGCCCAGCATGGCATGAGAGAGAGCGGGCTCGACCAGCTTATCCACCTCCTGCTCTACAGCGCCTCGGAGGAAAATGTGGACTGGAGTATTGAGCCACATAACACACGGTGCACACATGCATCCCTCCTACACAGGATCTATATGACTTAAAGGCAGATTCGTAAAAAGAAAAATACAACACATCATTTCATAATCTAATGTTCCGCAATTTGGCCACGAAATTATTACAGATTTACGGTGAAATAGGTGTTGTTCCAGGAGTGATTGTGCCTAAATATGGCCTAATATCGACACAAATATGTCAATATGAATTTGTTAAAAGAAACAAAAGGTAACAGTAATTGAAAAAACAAATATGATTAAGAGACAACCACAAAACAAATGCAAAGAGAAAATGTGCACGGCTGTGTTGGCGGATTGACTCCAGGTCTGATTTTTGCACCAGCCGCTCTCCCTGTCCCTCGGCGAGAGCCAGTTCTCAGCAGCTTTGACAGGAGTCGGACACGCAACCACAAGCTGTGCGCAATAAAGCTGCCATCAGAATAAGAATGTAATCACACTTTACAAAAGCTTTAATGTAGCGCTATGTTCCATTAAATTCATGCCCTACGGTTCACGTTTTCTATTCTATAGTTCCCTGTATAACGAAACGCTAACAATTTGGTGATCAACAATATAATAAACATGTGGTGTAATCTGCACAAGCGAGTGTGTCTTAAAAAGTAGCCTATTTACAAACAACAACATTTTTTTTGTCATATTTCTTTATTTTAATCTACTCTGTCAAAGGAACTTTAGAATATGAAAGTGACAATGAATAAAACAGCAAAGATAAAACGCAACCACAGGTTGTGGTGTAGGACCACACAAAGTCAAAGTCTACAAGACACTCTCTCCCATCAGCAGTATTCACACTTGAATGTATAATGGTGCTTAGTAAAGAAGTCTGGTGTCTGCTGGGACATGAATGAGCAGTGGGTCCTCTTTGATGAGATCAGATGCATTTGATCAACAGAGAGAGAGCCGCGGATGAAAGAGGGATGGGAGTAAGCTGAGAAGAGCAGAGTTCGGGATGGGGCTCGCAGAGAGGATGCCCGTAAATTAAGAAACAGGCGCTTAAAACATCCTTGACTGCATGTGTTTAAAGGTATCGCAAAGCTATACAACACTTTCAAACGTCCTCAACCAATTGTGTTGGGTTTTCAATGTCTGCTTTATAAAAGGGAAATGTAGGAGGGAAGACCCCTGCTGGAGACATGCTGCTAGTACAATTGAGACCAATATTATAAATACTTTTCTAGAAGAAAAAGACACCTTTGAACTTCACTTTCAGCTTCATCAATACAGCACACAATATTGAAAGTTGAAAGCAAATTCACCGGTCTACCTGACTCACCTATTGTGTGTACTTCTGTTACACACTGTTCACTATTCACCCTGAACTGAACATTACAAATTGTGAACTTTGTCGTAATTAGCACATGCATTAACAGGAAACCAAACATGTGTATTCAAATTAAAAATGTTATTTGTTTGTTACATAAACATCTCTCCTGAACCAGCGTCAGATCAAGGTTTACAACTTTCAAATATTATTTTGTTGCATGAATTGTGTTCAAGGTAAAGTGTCTATAATGTCATTAAAACATAAAATAAAGTACTCAAACTTGCGGTTTGAGTGCGTGCGGTGCATCAGTGTGTTTTGAGGGAAAACTGTGTGAAATGAACGAGAGTGCTCAGTGTGCCTGTGAGAGGGAGAGTTTTGAAAGAAGATTGAGGAAACAGAAAAACTGAAATACATTATTTACATATATTTCTGTACTATTTATATTATGTCAGGCACAAACATCAAATATGTAATTTTTCACAAAAGGGTCAAACTTTGCATCATGTGTGCAGTTTATGACAAAATGTGTCCTTGTTTTACAAAGGAGAAAGGAGTTAGAAACAGTTGTGTAAAGGTTTTAAAATAATGAGTTCAAGCCCTTGGTGGCCTGGTGCAATTATTATTATTATTATTATTCAAAACTGTAACACCCAACTAATAATGCTTCTTATGTACTATGGATCTTTCAGTCATGTGTTGTTTTGTGAACATGGTTGTGTGCTCTTACAGTTACATAAAGTGTGTATAAAAGGTCAACTCAATGTCAGTTTTTATGAAACAACTCCAAAACCATTCCTATTTTATTTTATTCATTTTACTAAAACTCCATATGGTTAAGTGATGGCCGTAACACTGTTATGATCTGAACACTTGTGTGAATGTTGTTCAATTAGCTGAGGCCCAGCCCATAGCCCCAACAGATGGCTATTTATAGACAACCTCAAGGCCATCACATTTGCATTCACTGCAAAACATTTGAGAGGAGTAGGTTTTAAAGATGTCCACTCAAGTGAATACAACAATAATTTTCGTGTACGGAAGGCCTACACTTTAAGTGGCTGGTTCTATTCAAATGTTATGATTAATAAAAGTCATACACACTGTAACACTTCTGGCCTGTGTGTAGTGAAGACTGGCTCCATCAGCGTCTTAGATCAAAGTCTGAGCTCTGATCTCTGCAGCCGCACCAGCGCTGACAGAGGGGACCTGGGGCATTAGCATATTCTATGATGGCTGGCGCCGTTGCCTCCGATACAGCTCTGTGTGTGCCATGCTGTGGCTTTGCAACTCTAATTTCTCTCTTGCTCATTAAAAAAGCCCACTGTTCTCCTATTAATTCTCAGACACACTGATCTGTTTGAATGGTGAGGGAGGGTGGGTGTGCAAGAGGGAGGTGGAGGAGGGCAATGGCTCAGCGCATTTGCATTTATGTTTAATTTATAACCTTCAGGGGCCCCCTGATGCAGCAAGATTGAAACAATAACTCCAGACAAACACATGCAAGAGAGAAGGAGGATCCGGATGAGGGAGGACGGAATTAAAAATATACAGCTCTGGAATGCTCTTTGCTTTGAGCATGTCTGGGCCTACTGCTGTGCACTACAGACACACACATTTATGCTCCTGAATACACAACCATGCACACTGAGAGGCAGAGGTCCTGGTCCACCAGGGGATAACATGCCACGGTGAGTGTCTGTCAGGAGCAGAGCTGGAGTCTGTTCTGGGGTCTGCAGGGATCTTCCCCTGCACCACAGTACAACACAGCAGCAGCATGGCCAAGCACAGAAAGTGGGTCAGCCCAGAACACAGACACATGTGCACATGGACACACAAGCATACATGAGCAGATGCACACAGAGACTTTAGTTTGCAAGGTTTTGGAGGTATTCCTTCTTCTCCTTGAACACAGTTACTAATTATATGAAGGTGATATGGATATGAATGTCCACATAGTTATGTCTGTAGAACAGATTTTGTTTTGAAAGGCAGGCAAACCTGTGTATGTATATACATTTTATTCCCTGCAATATGACATCCAGCTTCATAAAAACATTAGATTTCCATGCATGCCAATAGGAGAACATAGTGTAGTTACACAGACAAATGCATCCCCAGTGTCACACCAGGCAATGCTGGAGAGAGTACATCCAGATGCATACTTTTATTTTGAAACATCAACATGGAAGGGTCTTATTTAAGACATATACTCTGTATAGCAGCAGAGGAGGAGCGGGTACGGCAGACATAAAGCCAGCCTGCTGCTATGTGCACACCCTATGGAAGTGCATCAAATTGATCCATAGTCTTTTCATTTCAAGCTTGGGTAAATAACAGCATTTGCATTGATCAGTTTGAAAAATCAAGCAAAGACAGGCTTGGGAGAAGAGTGTGCGCAATTGTGCACATTGTGTGAATGTGTATGTGTGCCAGCTAACAAAACACATCTTATTCCTCTGTGCTCCTTGCAGAGTCGAGGGCCTCAGCAGAGCCCTACAAACAGCTATGATGGATAAAATGTTTTCAACAACACTTGAAAAGAGTGGAAGCTATTGTGTCCGCTGTATACTGAAACACAGAATTCCCAGGATGCCACATGCTCTATTTATGTGTTATGAAAAACATGACTCAAAAGAAACAGGAAAACAGCTCTGCTCTACTTTCAGCAATCATGAAGAGTGGGTAAGAACAAGCCGGAGACAGGAAAGCAGAGGACTGGAGAGTGATATTCTTCATCCACAGATCCTGTTGATGGTGTGATGGTAACAGGGGACCCCCAGCCCCTCCCTCCATGCTGGCTGTCACTGCTCTTCTCGCTCCATCCTCTGTCCTCCTCTTTCTCCTGACTGCAGAAGCGTATTAAGTATCCCCTGTGAGGCGCACATACGCACACACTCAAAGACAGTATTTACAAGATCCACACAGAGCCCACTTTTAACAGGCTGTGACGAAATTCTGCCGCCTTTGATGTGGCAACCTAAAGGGGAAGAACTCGCCGCCAGTCACTGCATATGTTAGCTAAATATTGTGAGCTAATCCACTAGCATTGCAAGGTAGAATTCACGCTCTTTACTGTAAGTGAGCACTTCAAATGGTGTTTAGTGATGGCAGATTTGTTTTTAGTTAGTTCATTTTTTGATCGAGGTTGAATAGCCATCTCGACCCAGGGCAACAGTGGGAAACAGGTGTAATGTTTTGTTTTTTGTGGTGGATTTATAGACGTTTTTTGATGTCACAGAGCACAGTGCTGGACAAGACAGACTTGCATTAAAATGAACTACAGCAAGCTTGTCATCCACATGGTGCAAAATAAACGTTTTACAAAAAACTAGAAAGAGTAGTGCATGCAAAAGCCAAAATGATGGAGCTATACAGAAGGTTCAGACCGGAAGACTGGCCCAACCTTTAAACTAGCCAGACTCCTGCGCTGTCACCTGCCATTCAAATCTGTCACATCACTCCTCCCTCATCAGGCACAGCCAATCATTAGTATTCAGCCATTCTAAAAAGGAGCATCTGTCAGCATAAGTCAGCCTTACAGCTATGTGCAACCCTCCTCCACCCCAACGCCTCCTCAGCAGCTTCATCTTCAGGCATCATCATTGCCACCACCAGTCTTCGGCCTCCAGGTCTGAAAATTCTTCTCATCTCGGCTACACATCCCCCATTCACAGCATCTCAGCCGGGGCCGAAGCACCAAACAATAATTATGAATTCAATAAATCCTTTTAGTTCATTTCTGTCTCTGTCTAGTCTTTCCAGATTGACCAACAATAAGCCCTTCACTCTTGTTACACAGCTCGTTATACTGTCATTATGTGAAGTATTGTTTGGCTTGTGTCTACAGTTGGTTTTACTTTAAATGGACGCTATACATGGTCATAGTGTTCCCACCGAATATACCTCGACAAAATCCAAGGGTAGGTTAGAAGGCAACTCATTTTAACCAAATAGCTTGTATCACAGATCTGCTCTGCTTGTTTTTGAACAAACACCCTGTGTTTTTTCCCTGGTTGAAAACATTGCGTGTCAATAGAATATAGACTGTGTAGTTTGAATCAATTCATAATAACTATTAGGTCATATGCTAAATATTATATTTGCAAGTTTGGTAACACTTTATAATAACTACACCTTATTTAGGCATAATAAATGTTGAAATAACACTTAATTAATCATGAACAAATCTACTTAATAATAACTACTATGACTACTACAGTTAATACATATATAGTGACAAATGGTTACTTCATAAATATTAAATAAATAAATAATAATGAACAAGTGAAGAACTTGAAGATTATGAGTTAGGCATTTATTAACTGTAGTAGTTAAGTAGTCATTAAGTCACACTTAATTAATGAATTGTTCATGATTAATTAAGTGTTATTTCAACATTTATTAAGCCTAAATAAGGTAAAGTTATTATAAAGTGTTACCGCAAGTTTTTAGTTAGTTAACCGGAAAGAATGTTATTGTGCTAATTTCTTTAAAATATGTAGGATTTACAATGTATTTTTACAAATGCTTGCACTCCTATTAGCTTGGTAATAAAAAATGTCTTCAGCAGGTTTTAGTCAAATGAAAATCTCAGCGCTATAGTTGCACCATATCAGACGTCATGTCTTCACTCATTACGATGAGACCCATTCTCATTGCAATCCCCACCCACCTTTATTAGATACTGTAGATATGAATTGTTCACCCACCCTCACTCTACACAGGGGTACACGGCAAGGGTGTCCACTCTCTCCCTCTCTTTTTGCCCTTTTTATAGAACCCCTCGCAGCCGCAATACGACAAAACAATAGCATTCATGGCATTCGAGTTATAGACACAGAACACAAAATAAGTTTATACGCAGACGACATCTTGCTTTATCTACAATCTCCCCAACAATCACTACAGGAAACCCTCAAAACCATACACTCTTTCTCATCCATATCTGACTACACCATAAACTGGAACAAATCAACAATACTACCGCTTTTGGACAACATGTGGGATTCTGCAGCCCAGGACACCCTTCACGGAATGCACATAGGCAATATTAGATACTTGGGCATTAACATTTCCTCCAGGCTGTCAGAGTTGCTTTCACTTAATCATACTCCACTCCTTAAAACAATTCAACTCGACTTAGAACGATGGACAAACCTACCACTCTCAATAATTGGACGCATCGCCGCTGTTAAAATGAAAATACTCCCCAAACTCAACTACCTTTTTGCTAACATCCCCACTACACCACCGGACAAATGGTTTAACTCACTCGACTCAATAATAACACAATTTTACTGGAAAAAAAAAACAGGCCAAAATCAAATTATCAACACTACAAAAAGAAAAAGACAAAGGCGGCTTGGATGCACCAAATTTCATACACTACTATCTGGCAAATCAGCTACAATACTTGGTAAAATGGACAAAACCACCACCCAATAACCCATGGATTCAAATAGAACAATCATATTTCAAAAAAACTACCCTTAGAAGACACCCCAGCTATAAGTACCAGCCTAAAGAAACACGACTCATTTAAGAACTTAACCATCTCCAACACTCTGACAGCCTGGTGGAAAACTTTGAAATTAAACAACTCACCCACTACACCCTGTAAATACACACCCCTCTGGCACAATCCTGACTTCAAAACTAACAATACACCTATTCACTTTCACTCTTGGGAACAGAACGGAATTACTCACTTGCATCATCTTTTTAATAACGGTAAATTTATGACATACAGAGAACTCTCCGAAAAATACAAACTGCACAACAATAGCTTCCAATACTTACAAATCAAGTCTATAATAAAAAGTAAAATTAATATAATAAACAACCCTTTAATTCCCCCACAAATATTAGAAAACATAATGAAAATCCAATCACTTAAGAAACTAACCTCAAAATTATACAAATTCATAAAGACTGAGGAGACAATACATACACCACAGATCAAATGGAATGCGGACATGAACACATCTCTCACACAAGAAAACTGGACAGAAATATGCAACAATACCTTCTCCATGACACCCAACACTAATCTACAACTAATTCAGTATAAAATTATTCACAGAACACACATTACACAATATAAAAAATATAAAATGGGATTCTTAAACACAGCCATTTGCACACAATGCACCCTGGGAGTCACTGACACACACCTTCATGCACTCTGGGAATGCACCCCTGTACAGACATTCTGGAAAACTGTAACCCACAAACTCTCAGACATCCTGGGCTGCAGTGTCCCCCCCCTCCCCACGCTCTGCATACTTGGCCTGACCACAACACTTCAAATCCCACCAAAACACAAGAACAGCCTACTGACATCTCTGACTATCGCCAAGAAAACAATCCTACAAAACTGGCTATCTAAAAACTCCATAAATACCAACCACTGGACTAACTCTCTCTCTCAGCACATTTCATCTTCACTCTCTACTGCTCATCATGATGGAGAATTACAGACCCTCACAGAAACCTGGAAACCCTTCATAAACTATTTTAATATTACTAAAACATTTACGAATAACGTAATGTCAACAATAAACCAACACAAGCAACTCTCTGTCTGCTGCCGCCCTCTACCACCAAATGCATCCCTCTGATTAACCCCACACAACTGCAGCACACGCACGTATACATGAACTCACACATACATGAACTCACACAAACATGGACTCACACAAACATGGACTCACACAAACATGGACTCACACAAACATGAACTCACACAAACATGAACTCACACAAACATGAACTCACACAAACTTGAACACACACAAACATGAACATGCACATAAACAAATACGTACAAACATAAGGACTCGTTGTATCGCAGTCATTTTACTGCCCATGCCCACAACAAAATGTTACTGTTTTCTCTTTTATTTTGTTTTTATTTTTCTCCTCCTTTATATTTGACTTTGTTTCGACACCTGATCTGTTGACTACCTCTGCCAATACCAGCACTATGAATATTCAAGGGGATATACCTATTACAATAACATAATAATAATAATAACAATAACAAATAATAACAACAATAATGATATGATAAATCATAACAATAATGATAATTGAAAGAAAAAATAAAAAAATAAATAAAATAAAAAATAAAATAAAATAAATAAACCACCTCAAACATGTATATAAATATACACGCAAACTCCTCACGAACACAGATTAGGGTCACCAGCGGGGATGGTTGCCAGAGGGAACTCTCTTTGGTGCCACCCCTGCTTGATTTTTAATGCATCAGTCATGACACTACACATCCTAGCACCTCTACACCACACCCGTCATAATATGTATATCAGATATCAGGATTGTTTAGAACCTTTTTGGTGATGGTATCGGCGGCAGGACCAGTCTATAGATTTACAGTGCATATACGTTTTAATTTTTGTTAAATTGTTATTGTTTTTTTTTTTTTTTTTTTACCATATCTCACTCACTCAAACACGCACACGCACACACACACACACCACTCTTGTGCAACTCTGAACCCCCCCCTCCTCCCCACAATGCTACCATACAGGAGTTTGTATAATCTATTTTCTTTGTATGTAATTACTGTATATGTTTTCTTTATATATAACTACTGTAAGTTTTCCTTGGATGTAACTACTGTATATGTACTCCCCTATCACTGGGTGATTAAATAAAAAAAAAGATAGATATGAATTGTTTATGGAATTGAAAAAAATAGATACTTTTTAGAGAAACTTTTAAGAAGACAACACAGCATAATTTCCAACAATAATTTTATTGTTATGTAAAATATTACTCTTGGATGAACATGATACAGTATGTGGAGATTTAAGGTGATGAATAACGATTCAAACACACAATCATC